TAAAAAATGCATTGAATAAACAAATATAAACTTTAACTAAAATTAAAAATAGTCCTTAACTGAAAAAAGTAATAAAAACTAAAAAAAAAAAAAAAACTAAAAAATTTAAAAATCTCAATGAGCGATAAAAATTAAAAGCATAAGTTAATATATGGTCTTATTTCAAGTTAAAAGTGTTTCACTTTATAGAATTTAAAAAAAATTTAATTACTTCAAAATTTAATTATTTAAAAATTTGAAACTTTGATATTTTTTAATGTCTTCTAAGAAAATAATACAAAAATAAAAATTATCCCTTAATCGAATTCGAATCCTCATTCAACATTGAACTAATGGTTGCACCTCATAACATAGCAATTAAATAACCTAAGCGCTACACTAGCGTAATGGTGTAGTAAAAATTATCAAATCTATTAAATTTAAATTAAATTATTTATTAGATTTGAGCTATTAATTTAGAGACATTCATAAATTAAAATATATATATATATATATATATATATATATATATATATATATATATATATATATATATATATATATATATATTGCTTTTTTATTTTCTTTGGTTTATCCTTATTCTTATTTTATCACTAATAAAGTTTGTTTCTCTTTTTTGTTTTTTATTTTTTTGTTTATTTTTAATTTTCTCTTTAAATTAGTTTTGTTTTTTCAGACCATTTTTTAAAGAAGCAATTTATCAAAACAAAAAATTTGTTCAAATTGTAAAATATTGTATGAGTGGTCATATAAGGCGTGCAACCCCACGCATCCCTTGCGTGTGATCCCATGCATCTCCTGAGAAGGCTTAATTTGTGTCATTCAGTATTTTCAACAAGTAATGCGGTCATATAAAGCGTGCGACCCCATGCATCTCCTGAGAATTGTGACAGTCAGTACTTGAATTGTGACAGTCAGTACTTGAATTGTGACAGTCAGTATTTTCAACAAGTGATTATTCATCTTAAATTTTAATTTTCTAGACTTCATAACATTAGTTTACTTTAAGTAAAACAAAACACCTATATTATTAAAGTTGTAAAAAAAATCATTTATAGTAAGCTTTAATGATTTGAATGATGAAAAAAATGATGAAATGGTGAAAAATATTATCTAAAGTAAGCTTTGTTTTTTTATTGTATGGTTTGAATTTATTTAGGCATTTAACAAATTCTCACTCACAAATTTTTACTTTTATCCAGTTCATGTGACAGAAATAATAACTACAGTATTTCAATATATCAATCTTTTAAAATCATCCTCTGCTCATGAATGGATATATAATGAACTTCAGGTAAGTTTTTCAATATATTACTTTCACTTGCCCCACAATAATGTTTAATTATATTTTGCCTTTTATCTTTTCTGAGACTGTTACACACACACTCACACACACACACACACACACACACACACACACACACACACACACACAAACACACACAGTAAAAATAAAATAAAAAATTTGCTAATCACATAAAAAAATCTTTGCAACAAAAAAAATTTATTGTATTTTTTTATGCATTTTTTTAAATTGCAACAAACCTTTTTTTGTTCATCGAATTCTTTAAGGAAAAATCATGTAAACACCTTTATGTATAAATTATTTTATTTAGAATTAGTTTGTTTGTTTTTTTCTTTTTTTTCTTTTTTTAATCTTATTAAGAAATTAAATAAAATGTTTGATTTGTTATTTTTAATTTTATTATTATTATTATAATTTTGTTGTTGTTGTTGTTTTTATTTTATGTATTTTTATCTAGAATTTAAAATTCATCTGGCCATTGCTGATATATATATATATATATATATATATATATATATATACATATACATACATATATATATATATATATATATATATATATATATATATATATATATATATATATATATATATATTATATATATATATATATATATATATATATATATATATATATATATATATATATATATATATATATATATATATATATATATATATATATATATATATATATATATACAGGGCCTATTCTAGGAAAAAAATTTGGGCGGCAGTTCCCCTCAATTCCATAGATATTTAGTGGAAAATATGCGTTTTTTCACACAAAAAAACAATATTTGCCATAAAAAATGTAAAAAAGAAAAGGTTCTCAAATTTTAATTTAGGCGGCGCCCAAATATGGTTGATACTGTCAAAAATGGTCTAGAATAACCCCTTTTATATATATATATATATATATATATATATATATATATATATATATATATATATATATATATATATATATATATATATATATATATATATATATATATATATATATAATAATTATGTATATATATAATAATTATGTATATATATAATAATTATGTATATATATAATAATTATGTATATATATAATAATTATGTATATATATAATAATTATGTATATATATAATAATTATGTATATATATAGAAATTAATACATATATAGAGAAAAAAAATAATTATGACAACATATACCAAACTTCATAACCTTTTTTTTTTTAACTATTTTAAAATACTTTTAAGCAAAAAAGTTATTAAAAATAATCATTTTATCATACCATAGCATGGTTTTAAAGTTGTAAGGTTTGTATAAACGTGTTTTGACACTTATTTACAGTCGTACCATATATCTATTATTGAAAACTTTGATAATGTTATATTGCATTTTTTTTAAATAATATACATGGTTGTTAATAATTATTTATAATTATTAACAACCATGTCTCCTACCCTTCATCTTCTAGGATTAACTCTTACTTCTGATCTTTCTTGGAAACCTTATATCAAATCTGTTGCAAAATTAGCATCTGCTAAGGTTGCTTCTCTTTATCGAGCTTGTCACTTTCTTTCTCTGGATTCTATTCTCTATCTCTATGAATCTCAAACCCGGCCTTGTATGGAGTACTGTTGCCATATCTAGGGCGGATCTTCTAATGATGTCCTTTCTCTTTTAGACAAGGTGCAAAAACGCATTGTAAACATAGTTGGACCTGCTCTTGCAGCCAACCTTCAACCTCTGTCATATCGTCGTAATGTTGCTTCTCTTTCTCTTTTCTACAAATACTATAATGGGCACTGCTCTAAAGAGCTAGCAACTCTTGTGCCATCTACTAAAATTCATTCTCGTATTACTCGTCATTCAATTAAGTCTCAACCTTTTTCTGTTACTGTTCCTAAGTGCTCCAAAAACTCTTACTCGTCCAGTTTTTTTCCTTGAACATCAGTTCTTTGGAATTTGCTTCCTTTATCTTGCTTTCCTGATTTATATAATTTGCAATCTTTTAAGTCATATGTCAATTGTTATCTTGCTCTACAATCTATATCTTTTCTCTTCCAGTAACTTCCAACACTAATTAGTGGTTGCTTGCAGCCTTGTTGGAAACGAAGATGTTTTAAAAAAAAGAAAAAAAACATTTAAAACACCAAAGGCTTTTTTTTTTACCATGCTGTTTACTGCATTTATTCTGACAAAGTTGTTTTGTTCAGAAGTGGTGCAAAGTAAGCGTTACAACCGTCTCGCTACTTTGAGTTAATTTTTGAAAAAGTTGATGACTTTTATGATTTAAACTTTTACATACTAAATTATATGATAGTATTTCATATTTCTGAAAAATTTCTAGTTATTTCCGTTTAATAAAGTCTAATGTTTTGGGAGACCCTCTTATTTGTTTTAATTTGTTATAAAAACAATCTGTGTGAAATTGTACGTTAAAATAATAATATTTAGGGGGTGCGCTGGCTAATAGAAAATTGTAGAAATTTGAAAATTTCACTCCGCTTTCAGCAATATCATTAACAACTTAAAAAACAACTAAAGAAATAATTTGTGTTAGTTGTTACAAAATCTTCAAGCTTCTTAGAGTCAATAGTTTTGATATCTATTTCTGTCTTCTTTGGAGGATCTGTTTCCGAAAGTTTTGTTATAGCATCCTTCTTTTTTTTTGTTAAAGCCAATCAACTCTGCAGAGAAATACCACAAATCATCTCTGCAGAGAAATACCGCAACTCATGCAATCAACTCTGCAGAGAAATACCACAAATGATTCTTAAATTTGTCAAGTGCAACGTTTGCCAATTCTTCATTTCTACTTTTGTAGCTGTCAAAAATCTTAGGGAGACTTAGATCATTTTATGGAGCACTTACTGCATAGGGAGCCAAAAACCAATGCTTAATGTATATTGCAACTTGAACTTAGCAAAAGCCGGAAAATTTCAAAAAAAACGGTTTTCGGTTCTATCAAATTGTAAAACCGGATAACCGGTTTTACAATTATGAAAATACCGAAAACCTGTTTTTTATTATGAAAGATGGGGTGCACGATTCTGAAATTATTATTTAACTCAATATCTGAAATTGTTATTTATCTCAAATTAAAATAATAAATCAACAATAACAAAAAGTTAAGCAACAAACGAAATAAAACAACGAACAAAAATATCTAAAAGTTGATAAAGTATTTCAAGTAAGTGTTACTTGTCTTTTGTGGATTGTTTTTATTATTATAAGTATTTCAAAATTTAAAAATTGTTGAAAGATTTTGTCAGTATGTAATCTAAAAATAACTAGTAAAAAAAATAAAAAAAATAAAATACCAAGGAGGTATAATAGAATGGAGGAAGAACGAAGCCAAAAATCATTTCAAATTGTAGTACAGTCTTAATTGTATAATTATTACAGCTGAAAGTCAAAATGGCACCTTTGTGTTGAAACAGGAAAATTTTCAAGTATAGTTTGTAAACTTTGTAAGCTGTAATCAAAATAGATTACTTTCTTAAAAGTTGATTTTATTTTGTATTGTAGTATTTTTGTTGGATTTAAACACAAATTGTAGGTACGTGCCTATCCAATGAGTTGCGACACCGATTATGTAATTAAAATCTTTTACTATTTTATCAAAGCGTGCTTAGCGTTTGAGTTGTAAGGACATATTTTGTTGTGTTATTTTTTAGAATTTTATATCAATATATACATTTTTAAAAATTTAGAAAAGTTAAACTTCATGTTACTACTAAGATTATTCCTTGAGAAACTTTAACTTCGTTCTCCCATTTTATATTTCTATTATATATCTATTATATTTCCTTAATAAAACTAAATGCAATATTAAAGTGCTTTTTAAAACTATATAAATTTTCACGATACTTTGGCTTTTCACGTTACTTGTTAGGCTTATTAAAACAAGAAATATTCGAACTATTTATCTCATTAGCAATGTATAATTAACGAATGGTTTTTAAAAAGAAAAAACGGTTTTCGGTTTCAAAAAAAACTTAACAAAAAACCGGTTTCAAGAAAACTGAACAAAAAACCGTTTAACTGATTGCGGTTTCCACCCCTTCCACCAATGTTGCGGTTTCCACCGGTTACACCAAGCCATAATTGCAACAGAAAACCGAATAATTTCTTTTAGTTTTTTTTTCTTCCTTAGCTGTTATTTTAAACTAAGTTTTGAACATCCAGATTTTCATGGAATAAATGTCTTTCGTAATCCAATGTGCTCTGTGATATGATGCTGGCTTTCTGAATTTAATTCCAGCTTTTGGAGTACAGCTGAGCAATATAATTAAAAGTTCCAATAATTCTTTGTAATTGTCACAAGGTTGATCTTCTTTGAGTTTTTTTACTGCAAATTGTATAATTTCTTCTTTTTCTTTTTGTTGATAATTGTATAATTTATCAAATGAAGTTTGATCAATATTACTCCAGTTTTTTTTAAATCTTTTAAATAACTGAATGTCAGGGCCTGATGAAGCTGACAATGCTGTGGATACCACTGCTTCCAACCAGGGTTGGCAAAAACCCGGGTTTTTTTAAAAAAACCCGGCCCAGTGGGTTTTTTTGGGTTTTATTGGGTAAATTTGGGTTTTTTTGGGTTTAATTTTTATTTTGTCCCTGTAAAAAATTTTTTTGTGTTTTTGTTAAATGATATTGAAAATTAGTTTCATTTTCTACTTTAACTTTATTTAAAATATATTTTATATATTGTTGTTTAATTATTTATAACAAGAATTTTTAAAATTATTTTGAAAAAGATTTTTAAATATAATTTAAAACTGTAATAGAAAAAAAAAATTTCACGCTTAATCTATATGTATTGATTTATTTTAAATTTAAAAGTATTATTCTATATAATTAAAAATGTCAATGAGAAAATGGGAAAAAGAAGGCTAGAGAATGGGAGGTAGTAACTGAAGTTTCAATTAAACTTTGAACTTAAAATTCAAATGAACAAACTTGTTCCTCTGCACAGCGGCCTTGTTTATAAAGATTCGTGTTTAGGAATTAAAGAGTTCTTTTTTTTTAATCAATTCACTTTCTCAAGGGATAAGGCCACTTCTACACTTTCTAAACTCTATAACTCAGAAACACGAACCTTGACGAACAAGGCCGCTGTGCGGAGAAAGGAGTTAAGCGCGGTACTGCAAGAGACGTGGTGGGGATCGAACTCGGAACCTCTCACTTATGAAGGGAGCGCTCTACCACAACACCACTACCGCGTAAGAGTTGAGAGAGGGTTGTAACCACAACAAGGTAGCCTCCTGGACTGTTGTGTTGGCTTCTCTGGTCACTACTACTCATTTAAATTCAACTTGGGAGGTGAATAATATAAAGTAATAAAAATCTCAATCAATAAAAATATTTGAATAAAAATTGCAATAATGTATTTCCAAATAATGATTCAAATAATAGTAAACCTGCTCTGATAGCTGTTATTGTTAGTTATAATAGTTAATAATAATAGTTATTAATAATTTAGTTAATAATAATAGTTAATAATTATTTTAGTTAATAATATTATAGTTATAATGTTAAAGTTGGTTATAACAGTTCATAAACTTATTAAATATCTTTAAAAAAACCCAATAAAACCCAGATTTTCCAGGGTTTTATTGGGTTTTTTTAGGCGGGTTTTTTTGGGTTTTATTGGGCGGGTTTTTTTGGGCGGGTTTTTTAATGCCAACCCTGCTTCCAACACAATTTCAAGGAAATGATGTCCACAGAGACACCATAACAAATCTTTTTCATATTTTGTTCAAGTAAGACACAAGCTCCGTTTTTTTGACCGGTGTTGTGTTTGAGTTGTGTCAAAGCACATACCTTTTACATTATCTGACAGATTCCATTCAATGACCAATTCCTCTATATATATATATATGAATATATATATATATATATATATATATATATATATATATATATATATATATATATATATATATATATATATATATATATATATATATATATATATATATATATATATATATATATATATATATATATATATATATATATATATATATATATATATATATATATATATATTTGCATGCATAAAATCTTTTAAATTTATATTCTTGTTATATAATAAAGTATGGAAACAATTTTATAAATATGGTTTCCTATAATTTTTTTTTCAATATAGATATTTTTTATACTTTTCTTTTAAAATTTTCTTTGTAACAATTTTATATACTATATCTGATAACGATGGCCACATGTTTGAAAAAAATATCAATAAAAATTAAAAATATATATTATGACTAATATACAAGAATACATACATACATACATACATACATACATACATACATACATACATACATACATAAATACATACATACATTCCAAATGTTATGCACCCATTTTTTATGTAGCAGCTTATATTATACAAAACCTTTCTTTCAAAGATGGTACAACGTATTGAATTCAAATATAAAGAGGTAACATCTCCAATAAATTATGTCACAGTTTTATCTTCACTAATGCAGGTAAATTTATTAGAAAATTATAAAAATAATATTAATAATAATGATAAAATTGTATGTTTATGAACTTTTTAAAAGTTATTTTTTAGCATTATCCACCTGAAGATATTTTGTATGGTTCATACATGATGGAGGAGTTTAGTCTAAATTTAATAAAAATGGTAATTGATCTCTTAACTCCTGATAAGTTAAGGTAAAAATTTTGCTTACAACTAAATTAAGAATGCACAATATTAACATTACACAAATATGAAGTACTATTTTATCATGCAAGCGTTGAATTCTAGTATTTAGTTTATTTTTAAAATAAATACAATGTGACAGTATTCAGATCTGATATTCAGATCTGAACAGTTTTGTTACAAGTATTATTACAATTGTAAAAAATTATTTGGTTCAGATGAGATAACTCAAATGATCTTCTATTATTATTTTCTAATTTTTTATTCATTTTTAACATCAATTCTTATAATGAAAACTGTTGGATTTAACTTTAATTGTTATAGTTATATAATGTTTTGCCCACCAATCATGAAATTGTAATATTTGTTATTAGCAGTAAGTAATCTGTAATACAGGTTATTAGTAACTCATTAATAACACTGTAACCTGGTATATTATCTAAAAAGAAAATTAAATTCAAATTTATCTATAAATAATTTTTTAGTTCTGTTCCCTATTAGCAATGTCTTGGCTTCTAGTTAACAACTCTAATATAGACTTCATTATTAAAAAAAAAATGTAAATAATAATAACATCAGTTAAGACCTTTTTAAAATCAGTTACAATCGAAAAAAAAGCTATGCAAACAGCCTAGCTCTGTTAACACCAAACATTACCACATAGCATAAGATATTTGCAAGCACATATTACACTTCATTAAATATTAACAAAAATTAGTATGTCTCCAGAATAATTAAAAAAAAGCTTGACAACACAACCTAATAACATCACTTGTCTCTGCCAAAAACATTACAACTTAGTAAGATATTTTATCAATTAAAATATTTGAACTAAAGGGATTTGATTAATTTTGATATTTAAACAATCGAAGGCCAGTTCTAGTTAAACAATTTGAACAATTATATCATAAAATAGCAATCAACAATAAAATATTTCTTATACATGATTATAATAAATTTGGTATTAAGAAATATGTAAGAGCTTAGTTATTACATAGAGGGTTCCTTTAATTGATAAACCCTAATTTAAGAGAGAGATGCAGACAGCATTTTCAATGCACTGTGTTAAAATAAGTAAAAAAAGCCATGCAATACATATTTATAAGCATATAGAAAGTTGTTGTTAATGACAAGTTACAAAATAACATAGTAGCACAAAATAGTTAACCGTAAAAGCTATTTTTGTGATGTTACAAGTAAAAAAATTAATTTTATCTCAATTATGTAAAATTCTAGTTTTTCTCTAACTGTTGACTAATGATTAATACAGTAAATTTCTAATCATATAAATTTACTAAATTAAAACCATGTTTTAACAGTAAGCAAACTAATAAAGCGATGGCAAGAGCAGCTTGAAAAAAAAAAAGAAAATAACATAATTAGATGTTTAGATTTATAAAAAAATTTAAAATGATTTAGATTGAAGATTGTTATAAAGTGTTATTATAAATAGTAAAATTCATAGCTTTTTTTTTTTAGTGTCTAAACTAAAAACAAATTAACAGACATTAACACCACATGACACTGAATTCTGGCAAGCAACACAACAACTTAGCAAAGTCACTTGATTGGCAAGGATAACAATGTTGTTCTACACTTTGCAAGTTAACAATTTAATAATGGTTTTATTATGTTTTTCCATGTTTTAAAAGTTTACTTTTAAAAAATAGAAAAACCTAATACAACCATTAACTATTAACTTGTTTTGTAACACTTATAAACATACTTATTAAAAACTATAAATTAAAAACTTAGTTAATTTTAAACCTAAATAAAAATGTATTCAAATTTTAATATTATTAATGGTTAATAAATTTTAAATAAAAATGTAGGGTAGGGATTTCCCTTCTGCAACTTTAAGAAAACTTTTAATTTCAATACTTCTTTACTCCAAAACTGTAACAGATTTTTATTTAGGGTTTTCGAATTAATATTTTGTACTCAATTAAGAACTAATTTATATTATTTAAATTTGATCAAAATTATTTTTAAATGTTATTTTTAATTTTTTGTAAGATCTAGTACGTTTCTTGACTTACCTTGATAAAGCACCACCTACCATAATCGATTCTCCACCTAACATGTATGAAAATAATCGTATATTTTAATTTTAGTGTTATTTATTTAAATCAAGAATAAAATACATAAATTTAATATTATTACTAAACAAAGAAGACATTGGATCTAAAACTATTCACCAAAGCATTTTGAGTTTAAACTTTTTTTTTTTTTTTTTTTTTTTTTTTTTTTTTTTTGTCTTTTATTTTCTTTTTTTAATAGATTGTTTTCTTTAAGATTTTTCTTGTTTTTTTTTTTGTTTTTTTTTTTCAGTTCTTTTTTTTTTTTTCAGCAGCTTTATTTTTATGTTCAATTTTTTTGATATCTTCTTCTTTTGCATTTTCTTTAGTTACTTGAATCTCTAACCATTTGAGTGAAGTTACAATGCTCAGTTTTCGTTCAACTTGCTTCAGCCTTTTTTTCGTGATTGGTTGTTTTTGCCATAAAAGAAAATTGTATTATGGATTTACATTTTTTATTATTTGTTTATTTGAATTTGGTGGATCAATTGCTGATTTACTTTCACCGGATTCATCAATTATTACACTTTTTCCAAATTTGCTTACACTACTAGATACATTTTTATTTTGCGTAATATCTAAATATGATTCTTTATCGATTTCGTTGTTCGATACAATATTGTTGGCTTCTACTAAATTACTGGTATATTTTTAGCTATCGTTAAATTTCAGTTTTTTTCCAAAAATTAGGTAATTTTCTGAAGTCAGTTTTTCCTCCCCATTCTTTATTTCCAGTTTTTCAAACTGGAACAATACTTTTACTTTAAACAATTACTTTTTTATAATCAACATTGTTCGCATTAAATGGGAACCTTCCTGTCGACCTAAATCCATTATTAATATTTTTTTTTCATATTTGGATACATAACAAAATTATTTAACAACGTTGGTATATTTTCACTGCAAATTTTGCATTTCGAATTTTGCATTTATGCAAAATAGAGTTGTAAGGTTTTCCTTATCTCTGTTGTTGCATTCTTCATAAACATTTCTTCCTCTAATGTCAATTACTTTTCCAGTTTTTGGTGCTAACTCAAAACCAGTTTCGTCTAAATTAAAAACATGAGATGGATCAATAAGGTATTGCGCATCATCGCCTAATAGTTCATACACTTCATTAAACCTTTTTTTTTATTGATGCATCAGTTATAAGACCTCTAAACTGATATGCTCTGCTCGTTTTTGAGATGATTCCTTATGATGGCGCATAAATTTATAAAACCAGTTTTTACTTGGGATATCATCTTTAAATGGTGTTTTTATATTTCACCCTCTAACTATTTTTTGTATTGTCTTAATTTTTTTAATAATTTTTTTGTTATCGCAAAACCCATGTTAGCGCACTGCATTAACCAAGCATCCAATTCATTCTCTAATTCTTCTCCAAGATATGATTTAAAGCCAGAATTTTGCCGTTTGGGTTGGCTTTTATCAGATATTTTGTCGCATAAGGTTCTTTCAGGAAAATTAAACTTTTTGTAGACACATTAAATTTTTTCATCTTTATTTTAAGTTCTAAGTGCTGCATGCAGTTTTTCTTCGGAATAGAATAGCTTTTTCGATTATTTTTTTTCTTTTTTGAACCTTGTATCTTTCTAATCAAATTCATTTCACATAATAAATAAAGTATAAAAAACATATCAAATAAATCCTCCCTGGGTTAAATTGCCTTTAATTGGTAATTTAGTTTAACTTTAATGGTTTTTTAGAGAGAAAACTTCACAAAATAAAACACGTTCAAAAAATTTTTCAATAAACGCTAAGTAAACTAATAATTTTTCAATAAACGCTAAGTAAACTAATAATTTTTCTAATTACCTACTGTGTAAAGGATTAAACAATGTTATACAAAAAATACTAATATTTTAATAATATTTAAAGTTTAAAAAATTCTAATATGTTTTGATAAAATTTAAAATATTCAATGCTTTTTACAACTATTTTAAACTTTTATCAAAAAAATATATATAAATTTTAGGACATTAAAAAAATTAGACAAACTTTTTTTTACTGTTATAGATTTTCTTAAGAAAACAATAAAAAATCATTTGTGGGTAAAAAAACATCTCAAATCTTTAAAAATATATCTTTTTAAAAAATATATTATTACTGAAATAAGTTAGCTTTGTATAAAACAATACTAAAAAAATAAATTAAAAAAAAAAAGCAAAAAATCTACTGATTTTTTCAAAAACATTCTTCACGGTAGAGGCTTCTTCACAGTAAGGGTTTCTTTGCAGTAGGGGGTTCTTCATGGTAGGGGCCATGATCCTGTAGTCATTAAAATAAACATAGTATTCAAAATTTAAATTTTTTTAGAAAAGAAACAGTCTAGAGATCAAGGCATTAAAGCATTATTTTGTAATCTGTTTCTCCTAGGAAATTTTATAAATTTTTTAAAAAAAGCTTAAGTTAGACTTTTTTCTCCACAAAAAAAAAAAATCAAGTTTCATAAGAAAAGACAATATAGTGACTTGCAAAATTTTCATCTAAAATAACAAAACAAAAAAGTAAAGAAAAACTTATATATTTATATTTTCATAACTTTACAAAAATAAAAAATAAAAACTTTAAACTATCAAACATAGAAAGACATAATCACTGTTTCTTGATAACATCACTGTTTCTTGATTACATTACTCACAAAATATTTTTATTCCTTTAATATATTATTTCTCCTAAAAAATTATTAAAAATTATTGACTCCTTAATGCAGTGCATTTGTCTGTAAACTTATATCATATATTTTACTCATGCAAATTCAGAAAGAAAGGGTAGCTGGACCCCTATCTCTTCACTAATAGTGTAGTTGATATATGTTTGATATTTTTAAGTAGCTTAAATTAGTGTCAGTAAATTGTATTTTTTTAAACATAAAATACTGATCTCAAGTATATTTACTATTTTCAAATTTTATTACTTATCACAAAATG